ATTCCTGCCCTGTGATTGGCCGTTAGAAACAGTTCTGCGCTGTGATTGGTCGTTAGAAACATTTCTGGTCCAGAAATATTTGCAATCTTCCTGCCTCTGATCCTGACCGTTGGTTTTGGTTCTGGTTCTGAGTGGTTTACAGATGTTCGGACCGGCGTCTTACCTGCTGCTGACGTCCAGAGCCCGGCTGTGTGGACTCGGGTCCAGGTGGACCTGGCTGTAGAGCAGCAGCATCTCGGTCTGCAGGGTCTGGGCGGTTCTTCTCAGGGCCACGCAGCGACTCTCTGACGCCGACAGCTCCGCCCTGAAACACAGCAGAGTCAGACCTCCGATGGGAGCAGGGCTCCGGTTCTGTCCTGGTCCCTGACCTGCTCCGGTTCTTGGTGTCCTCCAGGAGCTTCTTCTGATCCAGGATCAGCTTGTCCTTCTTAGCCAGCTGGTTCTCCAGCTCTGCTATCCTGTGATTGGCCGCTTCCAGCTTCTGTTTCTGCAGGACGTCTGAGTCCTTCAGCCTCTGGAAGTCCTTCCCCACGCAGCGCTGCAGCATGGCCTCCTCCTGAGCAGAACACGGCAGCCGTTCACCCATCAGAGTTGCAGCCTGGTTCTGGACATCTCTGATCTTACCGTCCAGCTGCGAGGTCCTCCTTCCTCCAGCTGGTTCCTCAGGGCTCGGTTGGTTTCTCTGAGCAGGAGGAGCTGCTGGTTGAGCAGGAAGATCTGCTGCTGCTGCTGCTCACTGCTGCACAGCTGCACAAACCCAACCAGACAGACACCAATCAGCTGCTTCATGGTGGGTCATCAAGTTCATCCTGCTCTGCTGCAGGATCTATAGCACCTCGGACAGCTTCACTTCCTGTTTGGGTCAACAGGACCCAGCCAATCAGAACAGTCCTCACCTTAGGGCTCAGCTGGGTCAGCTGGCGTTCGGCGTGGTTGGCCTTGTTATGGGCTCTCTGAAGCTCCGCCTCCAGGTCCTGCAGCCTGCGCTGGGATTCTGCAAGTTCACTCTGAAACAGCCAATCACAGACCACAACTGGTTCTAACGGCCAATCACAGCGCAGAACTGTTTCTAACGGCCAATCACAGACCAGAACTGTTTCTAACGGCCAATCACACTACAGAACTGTTTCTAACGGCCAATCACAGCGCAGGCTTTGCGCAGCGGTGTCAGATTTTACCTGCAGCTGCAGGTTCTCCTGCTG